CTCGTCTTCTTCATGGGTTTTTATTTTTAGCCAAACTAGCATAATTTCTGTGAGAAGAGGGACTGCTGTTGGTTAGCAACTGTGATCTGGGCTGAAACTTTTCCATAGACACAAGATTTAAAACTTACTGAAAAAAGATGCTGAGGATTTATTTTTTAATAGCCAAAAAAAACCCTTGTTTGAAGTTAAGGAAGGCCATCGAGTTAAAATTGAGTTAAACTGACAGCGTCTGGTTGTGATTTTTGTCTTGTATAATGCCAGCACCAGTGGCTGTTTAGTGAGGACTACAAAGTCCAAAAACTTGTATTATCTGGTGGATTAAGTATTGATTTCAAATGTGGACAAAATGCCAAACATGTAATGTGGGAGTGAGTCGCAGCAGGAAAAGGATCTGTGGCAAACTACAAAACCTAGAGGAAAATCACTTGAGTCAACTTTAGACTTTACACAGAGATAAAATCACTAAGTCAACAAGATTGTGTAAATGTGGTTTCCTACTTAAGACCTACTTTATCAAATTTTCTGCAAATCTGTAAGAAAGTATAAAAAAAATCTCCAGATCCCCAGACAATCTGAAGCACTTTGGGTTTACATTTGAATTTTGGACTATTAACCTTGAATATTGATTAACAGATGATCCTCTAAACCGGGGGTGTCAAACTCATTTTGCACTGCGGGCTAAATACAACACATGGTAATCCAAAGAAACTCCCCTTTCTAAGGAAGTTTAACTACACATCAACTACCAATTGTGAAAAAAAAATTGTAGACAGTGGAGGAAAAAACCAAACTTTTCTGTCATCCACTTGTTTATTACTTAATTACTTTGAAGCACGGGGGAGGGCTTTATCAGTAGTTATAAAACTTGTGAAAATACAGTTAAAAGTCCAAAGTTTATGTCGGACCGTTGTGGAGGGCTGCATGAATAATCTGGACTTGATTCTGCTAAATGTTATTTTTATCTCTTTATAAACTTCTACTGATAACTGGAGATGTTACACTTTCACTGGAAAATTCCCCAACCCTCCTCGAACCTTTATATAGCCCCATCCCAAGGTCGGAATTTGTCTTTCTCTATCTGTTCAATGAGACGCCTACGAAACGAATGACACTGTCCACAGCTTCAGCTGAACCTTTTGTTTGGTGATAACTGGAACATATAAAGTAGGATGGAGATGATGAGCAGGATTAAATGAACAAAGCTCACAAGTAACAAATTTTCCAAGTCAGCTTTATTGTAAGTAGATTTTTGGTGACCAGGTAGACATAGCTGTCGATATATTTAAACTTATATAAAAAAAAGAAAAGGCAAACTGTCACAGAATCAGGAAGATTGTGGGGATTAAACTTAAGGTCTTTTCCAAATCAGGTGTTTTTATGGATCGGGTTAAAACTCAACAAGTTTGTTCTCTATTTTTTTCTTTAATGTGTTGAAACTATGAGTGGTGCTCCTTGAAGGAGTATCTGTCAGAAACCAGCTATCTTCACTATCAGGCTCACTGCACACACCAACCCACAGCCGGTGAAACCAGCGCAGAAGAGGATGGATTCAATCAAGCCTTTTTCTTTTTGATAGTCGAACCAATTTCCTCCATATCATCACTTGGAGAGGAATTACACATCTGTGCTTTTATTTAAGTTATCTGGCTTGTTGGGTGAAATGAAAAAGACTGCAGCTCTGTTTGTGGGTCAGTCCATGTTCTGGTATCTGGTGTCGATGTAGTGGAAGTGGTGAGGTAGGCTCACAGAGCAGATCCTCCTGTTCTTACTTTTTGGCAACAACCAGCACAGCTGAAGGCACCAAACCTGAACACACAGAACCAAAGCAAGTCTGATTTCAATTTGTGATTTTTTTTTAATCTTCACTAAATATTAAAATTATAACGCGATGATACCAAATCCAGTTTAAGCTAAGTGGCAGCCTAATGCTATCCCCAGCTCACCCAGCTCTTTGAGGGGCTTCTCCATATCCAGTTCAGTGTAGACGTGACGGGGGTAAGGTGACAGCAGCGTGAAGTCCTGACCCTCGGGCGTGTTGCCGTTCATCTGCACATAGACGCGCACTGCCGCCAGCGGCTCCTGGGCCTTGAAGACTGTTGTGATGGTCGAGCCGTCCAGCAGACGGACCTGTGAAGAAGCAGCAAAAATTAAAGTACATATTTTAAAGTTCAACGCAACACCAGTTTATCTGCTTTTTTTTAGAGGGGTGTATTCATTTTCATCTAAAGGCCTAAGCCCTGAAGCACACTCTGCTTATCATCCATTTTATTCTAAACACCCTGTTAGGCCTGAAGACTCTGTGCACATATTATATATGCATTTATCGAAACCTGTGACGTTCTGTTTCAAAGGGCACAGACTTCAAACTTTATTAACATACATGTAAAGTAAAATTTTGAAACCAAGTATGAATTAGGTACCTGTATCCTGGATTCATCATACTCCTTTTTAGTGGGTGGAGGGCCCTGACTGGTGGGTGAAGACGGACTGGGCTGGCCAGGCTGGGATGACGCAGCGGTGCTCGAGGGTGCAATACCTCCAAACTTCACAGAAAAAAGAAGTCCAAGTTGTTCTTGTTTCCACCAGAAGTGGTAGAATACAGAAATGGAAAATAAACTTGAAAAGTACCTTTTGTGCTCTTTCTTCTCTGTCTCTTGCTATCTTCTCTTTAACCCTTTGCCTGTTAGTAATAAAGATAAGCAACACAATGACTCAGCAACCAGAGTTAACAAAGGAACAAAGTTACTTAATCAAACACAAGTTAATCTTTATGAATGAGAACATTTTCCAACAGGTAAAGCAGAGATAAAAAATTTTCCTGGGTTATTTGTTACCTTTTTGAAAAAACAAACAATTGAATGTAACAAAAAGGGTTCATGGGAACAACTAGTTACAGTGAAAAGCTTAGCTTTTTTATAAATAAATCCACAGTATTTAGGCTTGCAATACATTGGAAAACATCACAAAAATCAACAGCATGACTGCTATCTGCTCTTTTGTGTGAGTTACTTGTGCATGTTTCTCACCAG